ACATAGGGCAAAGGGGGAAAACAAGAGATAGGGAGGCAAACCATAAGAGACTCTTAACTATACAGAATAAACTGAGGGTTGATGGAGGGTAGGTGGGCAGGGGGATGGGCTAAATGGGTGATGGGTACTAAGGAAGGCACTTGTGGTGACCACTGGGTGTTATATATAGTGATAAGTTGTGCTCCTGAAGCCAATGTTACACAATATGTTAACTAACTAGAATTTAAGTAAAATATTGAAAAATAGGAATTGGAAATACTGGTATTATTATCAGATAATTATCAGACAATCTGATTATACACCTAAAAATTCACTCCAAATTTATGACTAATAAAATGACTAATAAAATGATATAGCAAGGTCACTCAATACAAAAGTTAACATACAAAACCAACTGCATTTCTGCACCCTAGCCATGAACAAACAGAAACAAACATTCTAAACATGTTATTTACTTTAGACTATAAAAGCACAGATACCCAGGAATACATTTAAGGTAATGTGCAAGACCTCTTTACTAAAATTTACAAAATATTATTAAAACGCTATTGAAATAAAGTAGGCAAAAATGAAGAGATATACTATATTCATAGATTGAAAAATTCAGCATTACTATGGTATACACTCTTCCCAAATTAGCCTATCAATGAAATCACATTCATAGTTCTAGCAGGTTGTGTATGTGTCTGTGTGTGAAAAGCTAATTCTAAAGTTCACATAAAAATACAAGTACCAAGGATAGCCAAGGAAACAAATTTAGAAGACTTATACAACCATATATCAAGATATTATAAAACTATAATAATTAAAACTGTGGTATTTACCAAGGACAGAAAAACTGATGAAACAGAAGAGTCTATAAACAGATTCATAGATAAATGTTCACCTGAATTATGAATGTGACTCTTCAACATAGCTGAATAAACTTTCCAAGATGATGACCTTTTCAATAAATCATCTGAGATAATCGGATACCCAAATGGGAGAAAATATAATTTGACTCTGACCTCATGCTGCATATAAAAATCAAGTCCAAAGAGATTCATATAGAAATAAAAAATAATGGAGACTTTAGATGGAAACACGGGAGAATATCTTCATAATGAAGAAGTATGCAAATATCTCTTAGGACACAAACAACATAATCATAAAGAAAAATATAAATTGGACTATATTAAAATTAATAACTTCTATTTCTCAAAAGACACCAATAAGAAAGTGAAAAGTCAACACCCAGAGGAGATATTTGTCATGTATACATGAAAATCATTCTGAAAAACTAAAGTTGAAACCATGCAAAACCTAGAACCCCCAAATTCTACTACTAAATATATATTCAACCAAAATGTGTATGTATGTTCTCTAAGAGGCTGTATAAGAATATTTTTATCATCATCTAAATGGCTATCAACAGTAGAACAGATGAAGTGTGGTATATCCATCAGTAGAGTATAAGCAACAACATCACTCTCTGCCTCCTGCTCCTCTCTCTGTCCTATCCTTGCCCCTGAGGATTTGGAGTGTCTATTGTAGTTATCCCATGCCCATATCAGCATCATGGTGGGTATGCGTGAGGAGGGAGGAGAGAGATAACTTGTCTCTCATGTCCCAGGTCTCCAGATTGAGAAGGACAATGAACAGGGAAGTGAATCTAAGGAAACACATTTTCACCAGGACCTCGTTTCGACACAAGATCTTGGACACTGACCTGATGTTCCAATGCAATGAAATTCTGAGCTTTGAGGGAAGGAGTGAATCGATTTTGAATGTGAGAAGAATTTAAATAATTTCAGGTGTTGGTAAATTACAGAAAGCCAAAAGTTATTTGCTATTCTTTTTATGGACAGATGGAGCTTAATTTCTTTACCTTAGTCACTGGCTTGGCCCTCGTGACTTCTTTGATCTATAGAAGGTAGTGAAAATGAGATTCTAGGATTTCCAAAGCTAGGTTTTATGAAAATCATGCAGTTTTCACCTTGATCTCTTAAAATGTTTGCTGTCAAGAGGCCCACTTTCAGAACGCTGCTGCCAGTGCTGTGAGCAGCCCACATGATTTGGAAAGGCCAGGCACAGGTGCACAGACCTGTGCACTGGAAAATGCATGAGTTATTAAAAAATAGTCCTGATAAAACTAGCTATTGTGAGTAATTAAAAGTAAAAGTAGATCTTTTTCTTTCACTATACCACAACATAAATTGCAAGTAAATTAAAATTTGGGTTGATGGGCATTAAGGAGGGCACTTGTTATGATTAACACTGGGTATTATATTTAAGGGATGAATCACTAAATTCTACTCCTGAAAGGAATGCTACACTGTATGTTAAGTAACTTGAAGTTAAATAAAATATTGCAAGAAAAAAGGAGAAAAAATTTTAAATGTACTGTTTAAAATTTAGAAGAAATAACTAAATGACATTTTCCTGTTATGTAAGATGGAAAGACTTTTCAGTATAAAAGTAATGGAAAAAATCACAAAGCCACATATCTGTCAATTTTGACTATAAAAAACATTTTAAAAAAGTTGTAGACGTCTTGGAATGGCAAGGACAGAAAACAACACCCATAAAATATTTTCATTTGTTTTATTGCCTCTAACATCCATTTTAAAACCCCACAAATATCCCAGTAGATAAAGGAGAAACATATTAATAGGATAATTTGGGGAATAATTAACCATCGTTAAAAAGCAGATGAAACAAATCGTCAATCTCACTAGTAACCAGAGACATGTGAGTTAGAAAAATGAGATTATTTTCTATCTGTGGAATTGTTGACGATTAAAACCAGTAATGATACTAGGACAAAGTGTGGTTAAGAACATGGATTCTAGGGTCATGCAGACTTAGGTTGGAATTCTACCACCTTCATTTAGTAGTTGTATGACCTTGGTCAAGTCGTTATCTTCCCTGGACCTCTGTTTCATCATCTGTAAAATGGGAATAATAATAGTTCCTGTATCTAAGCTTCCTGTATTACTTGAGATTGTGTAATGAAAGTGTTCAATAATATTAATAATAGTATCAATTCAATAGTATTAATAAAAATACAGGACATAAAACATTTTTAGCAGCTTCTAGGTATCAGACATTATGGTTGGTGTGCTCTATATAGGCTGCCTCATTTAGTTGAGAGTTTAGGACTTGAGGAGGTTGCTCTACATTAGGATTACTTTGTTTAGGAAAATCACCAACAGAAATCATTATAATTTATATATCTGACACTTTCCTCAATGCAATTTTGCTTAGAGTATGGGACAGAAATTCAACTGTCCAGTGCATATGTACAATTTCCTAGGGACCTGCTGGTCAGGCTGAAGTGCACTGTATCCCAGCAAGAGGCCTCAGAATCACACTCCTGAGACCGACATCTGAGCTTAACTCTGGGAAATATTTGCCCTCAGTTCTCCCAGCATCCAGCCAGGGTTGGCTGCAGGAAAGGCTGCACAATGACACTGAGGTTGGCTCTAATGAGCACTTTGGGAGATGTTTTCAAGAAGTCTTTAAAACCCTAAGAAAGTCTCTTGTCTTCTCAGGCTTAGGGAAGCTGCAAAGGAATCATACACTCCATGTTCCTAGTGAACTCTGGACTCAATAGACACAAACTCTGCTGACTGAGTCTTAAAGATCCCAGAAACTTCCTCATTGTGAATTATCCATCCAGGAGAAAGAAATGGAAAATCTGAAGATGCCGGACACTGATCCATGCTCTCACAGGTGAGAATCTACAAGGGGCAGGACACACACACACACACACACACACACACACTTCCCAACACAACAACTAGGCAGAAGTTTCCTGGGTAGATGAGCTGACTCTCCACCTAAGATCAGAAGTCACTCTACGAACCAAAGAACAAATAGAGGATTAACTATTCACAGAAACGTCTAAGGCCGTAGTTTTTACAAGGCCAATATGGAATGAGCTCTCACACCAGCTCTCTCTAAATCCCAGGGGAGCAGAACAGAGTGGCTACTTTCAAGCCCAGAGAACCAGAGCCTGATTCCTTCCATCTTCCTTCCTCTGATGAAAAGTAAATATTGGAGAAATATGGTACAATTGTAGGGGTAAAGGCACAGGCTCTGGAGTCAGGCACACCTGCATTTGAATGCCATTTACTAGCTATCTGATCTTGAATACATCAAATATCTCTGAAGCTCAGTGTCATCATTTACAAGGATAGTAGCACCTATGTCATGGCCTTATGAAGAATAAAAGAATGCCATGAAGATGTCTGGTATTTAACCAGTCTCTACAAATAGGAGCTGATCATGATGAGAGGCCAGGAGAACTGAAATATCAGTTCCTAGAGTGAATACAAGTACAAAGAAGCAGAAGAGGAAGAGGACAGTGACAAAGAAGAGACAGTGATCATGGGGTGGGTGTGGCCCCCTTCCTGTTTGTGGAGAGGAGGAGATGCGGTAGATGGGACATCACAGATACTCACTGCCCTTAGCCCACATACCCTGTGGCCCCAGTTAGGGAAGGGCATAGGGAGGGGAGCTAAATGGTGCGGTCAAGTTCTAGGGATTGGGGAAGCTAGTAGAGAGGAGGCTATTTTGTCTAATTGGTGAGTGAGTGTGTGTGTGTGTGTGTGTGTGTGTGTGTGTGTGTGTGTGTGTGTGTGTTGGGGGAGAGGCATCAAAGGAAATTATCAATCACTAAACATTAATGACTTTTCCAATCATGCCTTCAAGGATATGCTCAATTCTTAGCTCCTCCAATAGCTTACACTGATTTCTCTAGTCAAACTGATATCTTCCCTGGACCCCATTTAAACCAAAAGCACAATCTGCACTTGTATGGATATTATCTTGCCTGTTTCTATGTCCTGTGGGTATTTTCTTACATGTCCAATGAGATCCAAGATTCTCATTGTCAAGGTCCATTTATTCTCCTTTTTCCCCCAATATAGTTCTGGCTACACAGATACATCTGTGGTTGATCTAATAATTAAATACTAACAGAGGGAATATCTGAACAGATAACAAGAACTACAGGGATGGGAAAACCAAGCAGAGTGAACCAAACTGCTATTTCAGACTTCTTCCTTCTAGGACTCTCTGAGCAGCCAGGGGAGCAACCTCTCCTATTTGGCGTTTTTCTGGGCGTGTACCTGTTCACCATGACAGGGAACCTGCTCATCATCCTGGTCATCAACTCTGACCCACACCTTCATACTCCCATGTACTTCTTCCTGGCAAACTTATCATTAACTGATGTCTGTTTCACCTCTGCTTCAATACCCAAAATGCTGGCCAACATTCATACCCAGAGTTGGACCATCTCCCATTCTGGTTGCCTTGCACAGCTGTATCTCCTCCTTGTGTTTGGTGGCCTCGACAACTGCCTTCTGGCTGTGATGGCATATGACCACTATGTGGTCTACTGTCAGCTACTCCATTACAGCACAGCTATGAGTCCCCAACTTTGTGCACTAATGCTGGGTGCTAACCAACTGCCCATGTGCTGGGTGCTAACCAACTGCCCTGCCCTGGTGAACACACTGCCTCTGACCCGTGTGGCCTTCTGTGCCCACAAAGCCATCCCTCACTTCTACTGTGATCCTAGTGCTCTACTGAAGCTTGCCTGCTCAGATACCCGCATTAATGAGCTGATGATCATCACCATGGGCCTGATGTTCCTCACGGTTCCCCTCATGCTGATTGTCCTCTCCTATGTCCACATTTCCTGGGCTATGTTTGGCGTCTCATCTCCTGGAGGGTGCTAGAAAGCCTTCTCTACCTGTGGTTCTCACCTCACAGTGGTTCTGCTGTTCTATGGATCTCTTATGGGTGTTTATTTATTTCCTCCATCAACTCACTCTGCAGAAAGTCAAAGCAGGGATGCCATTCTCTATGGTGATTATCCCCATGCTAAATCCATTCATCTATAGCTTGAGGAACAGAGATATGAAGGAGGCCTTGCGTAAACTATTTGGCAATTGAAAAACATTCCTCTCACCATGACGGTGATGCCTGGTCCTGGTATCCTGAGCAACCCTGCCCTCCATCATTTTGGTAATTTCACCACTCTCAGACTGATTTTTAAGGGAAGGTTATCAGGTAACTCCGGGTTAGGGGCACAACAAAAAGGAGATTCTCACTCATTTATTTGGCTTTAGAATGAGATGTTCTGTCTCAGGCTTTCTCTGGATCTCAGTGCTAAGGGAAGGCAAGACACCATTCTCCCTTCTCATCTCTAAAACCAGAGTATTAGCCAGAGTGAACTAAAGTATATGACATACACTCTGGATTCAAGTACCCCTACTCTTGGGTACTATGGCACAGGGTGAAGGTATGAGAATACAAACATGTATTGAGTATTTACAAGGTTCCTCATTGTTCTTCACATCAGTTCTTTGAGGCAGGGTTGTGAAAAGTATGACTCAGAATGTGAATAACTTCCCCAAACCAGGTAAGTTTGATTCTAATACTCATCCTCTTTCTACTATACCACATTGTGGACATCATGATAAATATTGAAGGATTGTCATAGGAGGTGAAGAATTAAATTAATATATATTTTATGGTATTTCCTTAATATTTCATTTCTTTAACTCAAGAACACTCCTTTCTGTTATTGTAATGGCTGGTGAAACAGAGTCAATATTTATGTATTCCTACTGTGTGCCAACTTTGTACTAAAGTATCCAGTTTATTTTCTGGGTTCTTTAATAAAATATCCAAAATGCAAACACAAAACTATAAATCACGTGTGCTGGAAATTTTAGAGCAATAATTTGAGGAAAGGTAGTCTGGTGGAAATGGGTGTTCTGAGAAGTCACAAGCTTAACAGAGGTTATATTTTTGCAGTGGGGTTACAGGTTACTAGTTTTTTTTTATATCCACATGTTTCAAATGAGGGTATTTTTAGAACTAGGAATGAAATTTGAGAGTTGGCAAAAAAAATATTACAATGATTAGAAAGTCACCCCAGAGAGATAAAGAAGCACCTAAAAACAGGGCTCTCCAAAGACTCAAAGTCCAGTTCATCCTTGATCAAGTTTTTTAAAAAGGAGGGTGTGACTTTTTGATGTCTTCTACAACAGATCTTGCTTTGAAAGGAAGATAATTATACAAGAAGAAGATTGCACCTGTGTGCGTTTCCCTTTGACCATCCTCCCTTCTCTCCATCCCTTCTTCTTAGATAGAAGAGGTGGAAATAACATGACAACCAGGGAAACCAGACCAGACCATCCTGGCCTTGAAGTAGGTTACGTGCCCTGACCACAGCAATCTACTACTGCAATTTCTAGTAGGAAAGCAGAGGTTTAAAAAATCAACCTTTGGGGCACCTGGGTGGCTCAGTCGGTTGAGTGTCCAACTTCGGCTCAGGTCATGATCTCACAGCTGGTGAGTTCCAGCCCCGCGTCAGGCTCTGTGCTGACAGCTTGGAGCCTGGGGCCTGCTTCTGATTCTGTGTCTCCCTCTCTCTCTCTGCCCCTGACACACTCACATTCTGTCTCTGTCTCTCTCAAGAGTGAATAAACATTAAAAAAAAAATTTTTTTTTAATCAACCTTTGTGTTTGTTGGTAATATCCCTTTTTTTCTGAGCCAATTTCTTACCTGTAATATCACCACCTCTGCCCTCCAGGCACCCAAATACACCATACTGTTTACTATCTATTCAGTCTGTTCTCTGCCCTGTATTAATAGGCTATCCTAGCAATCAAACTCCCATTCCTGGAGGGTTAAACCAAATATCATTATATCTCTTAAAAGACATGTACTCAATTGGCGAGTAAGGTTCACTCTTCCACAGGACCATTTACACTTTTGAAGGTGATCTTCTTAAACCAAATGGACTCAAATGGATAGGATATTTCTGGAGATATTTCTGAGTCCAGAAATTTTAGGTGCAGGTATATAGATGAATATATATGGTTATAACTTATCTGTTTCTCCTAGTCTCATGTTCTCAACTATATTTGCCCCTTATAAGACTCAGAAAATAACCAGAATATTGTTTAGGCAGGGGTAATGACTTGGTAAAGGACAGCATAAGTATTGTAAATAAAGACTCCATAAATTACAAAGTCACTGGTGCTTTACTTTTTTTTCAGAAGGTATATTTGCTTTATTTGTCATTTTAAAACCTATATTCAAACTTTAATATATTTTAATTAGGTAAAGTATTTCTTTTGTATACAAAAATTTAGAGACTTTATGTCATATCTAAGAATCCCACTATATATCCTGTGGGATATAGATAGCTAATTACAACTAATAAAATTCTGAGAATGGAAATAGTCCTTTACATAGTACAGAATCACAATGTAAAAACTTTAGAAATAACGTCATCCCAAATTTATATTGTAAAATACTGTTAGATATTATAATTGTGTTGTTTTAATGACAATAATTGATGCTATATAAAAGCAGGTGAAGGAGATATTCTGAAATGCTACTGGTAATTGGAATACAAATTGGTATAGACTTCCAGGAAATAAGTTGATAATATATATTTAGAGCATAAAAAATATTTGTACCAGGGCACCTGGGTGGCTCAGTAAGTTAAGCATCTGACTTCAGTTCAGGTCATGATCTCACAGTCTGTGAGTTCAAGCCCCGTGTCAGGCTCTGTGCTAACAGCTCAGAGCCTGGAGCCTGCTTTGGATTCTGTGCCTCCCTCTCTCTCTGCCCCTCCCCTGCTCATGCTCTGTCTCTCTCTGTCTCAAAAATAAATAAAACATTTAAAAAAATTGTGTACCTTATGACCTACTCTTTCACTTCCAGGAGTTTGATCAAGGAAATAGTAAAACAATATTATTTATAACTTTGCTCTCAGTATCCAAGAGTCTCTTATGGTTTGCCTCCCTCCCTCTCTGTAACTTTTTTTCCCCCTTCCCCTCCCCTGTGGTCTTCTGTTAAGTTTCTGAAGACCCACATATGAGTGAAAACATATGGTATCTGTCTTTCTCTGACTATTTCACTTAGCATAATACCTTCCAGTTCCATCCACATTGCTGCAAATGGCCAGATTTCATTCTTTCCCATTGCCAAGTAGTACTCCATTGTATATATAAACCACATCTTCTTTATCCATTCGTCAGTAATAACTTTGATATAAAGATATTACTCATAAGAGAAACAGAAAGCTCTCAAATTTTAGTCATTGTGGCTAATTATGCTATGTTGATATGATGGAGTAGTGTGTGAGCTTTCCAATATTTGATAACACATCACTATACTGAACTCATTATGAATTCATTATTCATAATACTTGTCTAAAAAAACTTGAATATACCAAAATATTAAAAGGTACTATCCCAGGGTGATGGAATTATGTATGATTGTTCTTGTCTCTCTTCCATATCCACTTTCCACTTGTATTTTCCATAGTAAAATCTTACTTCGATAAACATAAATAGAAATATCTTTAAAATTTTATATCAATTCTTTTTGGCCAATATGTATACTCTGGTTGTCTGGAGTTTGCTGTGGAAATAAAATTAATATTTCTCTTGTTTAAGAGAGAATTTCTAGAAAACTCTGTTTTCCACAAAGAGATGCTAGATGAGGTTATTATATACAGATCTTCCTTGACTCACAGTGGAATATGTCCTGATGAACCCACCATAAGTTGACAATATCCTGAAGTGAGAATGCATTTCATACACCTCACCTACTGAACATCACAGCTTAGCCCAGCCTACCTTACGTGTGCTCAGGATGCTTACATTAGCCTACAGGTGCACAAAATCATCTAACACAAAGTCTATTTTATAACTGTTGGATAACTCATGCACTTTATTGAATACCATATGGAAAGTGACAATGGAGATGGGTGTATGGGACAGAATGGTTGCAAGTGTATTGCTTGTTTACCCCCCGATCACATGGCTGACTGGACGCTGTTGCTGTTGCTGCCGGCATCCCAAGAGAGCATCAAGATATGTGCCACATATTGCTAGCTCAGGAAAAGATCAAAATTCAAAGTACTGTTTGTACTGAATGCATATCACTTTTGCACTATTATACAGTTGAAAATTCATTAAGTTGAATCAACAACCATCTGTATTCTGCTACAAGGGAGAGAGACAGAGGCTTTTTTAAAGAAAATTAAGTATTTTAAAAAATAGAAGAAAAGGTTCATCTGTCTTAAAAATCAGTTATGATGTCATTTTTCATTTGAGACGAAAGGGTTTTCTGTCTATCCACATAAGCATCAGGGGCCTGACATCACAATTATCCTAGGGTTAAGTCTACATTTCTTTATCTATTTTATTCATCAACGTTCCGGGTAGACAAAAGAAACCACCATTGGTATTTTAAGCAAAAATTAATTCAAGGAATTGGGTCCTTACAAAGTCATTTACAGTGTCATAGAATCAGAGGCTCTAGAATGAGTCACTAGGAATAAATGTGAGGACAAGAATAATGAGACCAACATGGAGTACTTCTACCTCTTATGTCATCAGGAAGGTGGGGAATCAGAAGGTCGCCATTGGAACTATGAATTCAGGAGCATATCCGTGCAGCTACAACCCAGATATCAGGGATTAACATAAAAAATACATGTTTATTCCCCCTAAACTGATGACTGGACCCAGAAAAGTGGAATCCAACTGCTATTCTCAATGCAACTGCCTGTCAGCATCTATGTACCTGCTGATTGGACGCCGAAATTCTACTGCGGAAAAAAATGCTCCATTAATACATCTGACAGTAGAAAAGGCAAAAATAAACAAAAACAAAAACCCCAAATGCACTTCATCTCATTTCACTATTCCAAATTTCACAAAAGTACATCTATTCAATAGAACCTAATTCATATCCAGGACCTGACCCACAAAGGAGTCTGGGGAAAGTATTCCTTTCTTCTTTCCAGCTTTTCAAGTGTAGGAAGGTACAGCAGAACAAAGTCAGAGTGGATGGAGAGTGCCAATTGATCATTTCTCAAACACTTACTAATAAAACCATTGAATGATAACTTTTTTCTTTTCCTAAATTGATATGCCTGATT